GATTGCACCCGTTAGTTCCCACCCCTGGTACAACTCCTCGTAGATTTGAACGAACGCCTTTGCAATGCCCCCGCTGTCGGAGACGACGTGTTCGTCTCAAGAAACGATTCAACAAGATGGTGTGAGACATTGTGAAGCAACATCGTATACCATACTGAATGGTAAAATGGGTTGGTACACGAACACAAGAGGTACAACGATGTATCATCTAGAAGCAAAATGCAAAGCATAATGCGATACGAGGTGACGGTACGATGTGCGGTACCTTGAATCATTCATATACACAGTTGTACTCGATGGAATACGTTATGCTGTGTCAGGATGTGTATATATAGTGTATGTCTACCATTCGAGTATGAACAGGCATGCTGTGATGCAATATAAGAAAAAAAAAAAAAAAAAAAAAAAAAAAAAAAAAAAAAAAAAAAAAAAAAAAAAAAAAAAAAAAAAACGGGAATGCAAGACGGATCACACAAGGTCCGCTGAGAAATCGAACCCCGTAAAACAGATACTATAAAGGGAATACCCCACCGTGCCTCCGGGAACGGGGTGAGCGTGTGCTCGCGCCCTTTTGTCTTATCCTTTGCGCCTCAATCCTCAATCCTGAGGAAGATTTAAGGGACCCACACCCGAAATTGCCAAATCTCCTGGGGGGGTCAACGTGCCCCCTGGGCTCCGCGAAGTGGTGTCGCGTGAATTTTCCAAGGCCCAAAGGGGGCCCCCAGTCGGGCCAAGAGGGCTCCAAGCGGCCTCCAACACAGCATAAGGGGGGCCCGAGACGCTCAAACATCTGCCCAACACGCCTAAGATGGCCTCGCGATGGCCCGAAAGGCTTCCAAAACGCCCAGAAAGGTCCCCCAGAGGCCTCCCATGAAGGCCTTTCGAGGCAACATGGTTCATCGCCCTATAATGTCTGAACGTTGTTGTTGTTGCTGCTGGTGTTGTTGTTGGTGGTGTTGTTGGTGTTGTTGTTGTTGTTGTTGGTGTTGTTGGTGTTGTTGTTTTTGTTGTTGTTTGTTTCTTCTGACTTCCCGACAAGACTGCCCAAGAGGCCCCCAAGACCACCCCAAAACTGGCCAAGCGGCCCCTCGAGTCAGTCCCCAAACAGCCCCAGTACGGCACAGGAGGCGCCCACAACGGCCCAAGAGGGCCCCAAGACGGCCCAAAAAGGGGCCCAAGAAAGGGAACGCGAACCGAACATCTGAACCTTCCGCCCCACGAAGCCCGCAGGAGGCCCCAAGAGGCGCCCACGAGGCCCCAAGAGGCCCCTAAGAGGCCTCCAAGAGTCCAAGAGGCCCCGAAAGGGTCCAAAAGAGGGCCCAAGAGGCCTCCAAACGGCTTCCAAAAATCCTTCAAACTGCCTCGAAAGAGGCCCCCGAGAGGCCAACCACGAGATCCCAACGAACATCCAATAGGCTTCATACCCACAGCCCGGGCACCGTGGCGGGATGGACCGAAGCCCATTCGATAGTATGCAAGACAAGGTAAGGCATATGGGCATACACAAAACTATACGACAAAGTGTCTGGCAGACACGAACTGGTAGGATCCACGGATGTGAGATATGGCGGGTGAAGGTACAATGAGGCACGGCAATAAAATACATTATGATGTACAGACAACAGAAATAAGCAATATGATACAACATGGAGGGGGGCAGCGAAGAAAAATGATGCCATGCGAGAAAACAGACAAACTAAACCAATATAAACTAAGGTAAGACCTTTATCGCCCTGGGCGTTTTATGTTAACCGCTTTGTGCGTTGGGCGATTGCCAAGCTACAAGCGCTAAATGAAAACAATTGTTCCCCCCCCCCCGCTGTTACGGCGTTCTTTAGAGTTGTCTGGCCTGTCACTGTGGATATAAAAATTTACAGCGGTTTTGCTGTGTTGTCAAAACGTGTTCCTTGTCTACGTTGCCGTCTTCGCTCCCGCTTTCCGGTTCCTGCCGCCGTCCGTCCCTCCCAGCTCCGCGCGCAGAGCGCACACCTCAAAACTCCCAAACAACGTCCAAACACCGATCTAACACAAGCGCGGAACAGGCCCGCAGCCAGCAGCGACGACCAGAGAACGACAAACTGCTTACACTACAAATATACGGAGGACGGGGCGCAAGAAGAAGGAGACGTGGTAGACGGCAGTGTGAAACAGCGCAATCTTCTGATCTGGAGACGCTTAAAACGGAGCTCGAAACGCAAGAGAAAGTAGCTGTTCCTTCCCAGTTCTATATTTTTCGAGTTGGGGCACAAAACTAAAACACAGGATTTCCAACACGCCCACTTAAAGACTGCAATGGGAGGGTCAAGGCAGGGCTAACGCAAACCACCCATACTATCAGACAGGATATGCGACGAACCATACTATCACATCTGAGAGTAGATGAAAGAACGGATCTGACTCGAGACTAGAAGGAATGATCAGTCATCGCCTGATAAAACGAGCTATGCCAAGATTCGGTCGTATACGGCTTCGATTTACCTGGGTTAACGGAACCTGCTTACCTAACCAGCATACGCCATTTCTCTTCTCATAATCTTGCCAGATTAATTGGAAAACGCGTGGGCGTGGTTCGATTTAACTACGCTGGCGCAGCCAAGCCTGACCACGTTAAGGCAACGTTGTGCTTCTGTAGGTATTTGTTTCATAAACCTTCGGCGATTCGTTTTACTTCCTTACCTGGCACAGTTGGCCTGATTTGCTTAATATGACTCTTTCGACGTATCCTGCCCCGTAGCAGTTGGCCATGCCGCCTGGCCTAAGTGACCCATGCTCAGCTTACGTAGTTCAAGCGGCCCTATTGTACATCATGCTGCGTATTGCGGTGCCCTGGCCATAACCATGCTGAGCTCAACTGCGCTTCGCTCGCGGAGTTATGCAGCCTTAACTTTAAAACAGGCACTATCACAACACGCTGCTATCTTCCCACATCCAATTATTAGCAGCTGAATTCTAGGCCACTTGATTGGTTTAGCTCGTCTGAATGCATTCGGTACTCATCCCACCTGGTATACTCATATTAATGCGCGTAGACAATCTCAACATGTTTTAACATCCGTACCTGCCCCGACCGAACTTAGTAGCCGGCCTCAACGTACTGAACTTAAGCTGCTTCACCTCCGTTAAGCTGATCTGAATGTGCTGCTACACTACTGTAGCTCCGGCCAGCCTAATGCTTATAACGCGCTTACCCGTCAACACGAACTTGAACGATCGAGCTTGGAAGTCTTACGCAATCGATGAACAAGAAGAAATAACTCGAAGATAACCTGCGGTGGGCTAAGATACGACGGGGCCGGTTTAGACGACCCGAATAAAGGAGTCAGAGGAACCAAGCATGCATGGAACCCGCAACTCAGCAAGCAAGCAAGCGTGCAAGCAAGCACGCAAACAAGCGCGCAAGCAAGTGTGCAAGCGCGCAAGTGCGCAAGCAAGCAAGCAGGCATAGGCATAGGCGCAGGCATAGAAGTTAGGGTGGAGGCGTAGGCATAGGCATAGGCATAGCCAGAGGAATTAAGGGGGGGCATCGGAACTTGGGGTGGCAACTGACCAATTAGCAGGGTTTGAACTAAAACTCCCGTAGGGCAAACCTATTTGGATAATCTGGTTTGGGCCAACGCACGCCCATACAAAACAAGCCACGACATGACGGACACTGATTATGCAATATGGGGCAACTGCAGATCACGTGAGGTGTTATAAGATTCGCTGGAACAGAAACACATGTAACATACAAATCATGTTCGTCGCAAAACAAGTCATGCACGATGTCAGGTTACACTGTACGGCACCTTGCGAAACGTAGCTAAACAACAAAAGGTAACACACACACACAACGAGCAATTGGGGTCATAATGGGGTGATCTACTACAGGGCAAATAGTTTAAGCCGACGCACGATACATTCTGTAATATGGGATGATCTGTCAGGTTCTGCATACCAGAAATACCCGCCACGGTGCCGTTGGCACGAAGTGGGGTGCCCGAAGGCTCATGCAACACTGATAGGTAGACGCAGTGCTGCTTCCGCAACGAAGATTGTAAATCTTTTCGGGCCCGGACCAATCGTGTCCCAAGCCTTTCCGGGATTTCCTGAGCTGGCCTCGTGAGTTTGCAATGTTTCCTGCGACTCCTATGGACGCTGTGCCCCCCCAAAGCGATCTCAGGCCTCCCAAGAGGGCCCCGAAAGGCACAAGTCATGATATGCCTTCGGATTTTGAAAGGTTTTGGCATTCTCGCCTTTTCTGCTTTCTGACGCTCGGAAACGGCCCAAGAGGCCCCCCGAACCACCCCAAAACGGCCTAAAAGGTCTCCAAGAGGGCCTCAAGACGGCCCAATACGGAAGACGGCCCGAGAGGCGCCTAAAGACGGCCCCACTCTGACCGCAAGTGTCGTTGTCCTCCTCCTCCCCCTCCTCCTCCTCCTCCTCCTCCTCGTCCTCCTCCTCCTCCCGCCCCCCCCGTGCCTCCACTTTCCTTTCCTCCCCCGTCTGCCACCCGTCTGTGAAGTGCCCCCGTCCCCTGTTCCTCCCTCTGCACACCCTCCTAATCCCTTATTTGCCTTATCCTTCTCCTCGATGTCCTCTCTTCTCTTCTCCTTGCTCCTCCCACCCCCACCCTTCCCCCCTCGCAATCCCAATTTCACGCTTCCCCTTTACCTGTGCCGGCCATTCTTCCGCACTTCTCAAAGTCCATCTGCTCCCCCTCCCTCCCTGACATTGCGTCGTCCGGTCTCCCTGCTCAGACACTCCATGCTTGCCGTCGTCCCCCTGCCACCTCTTATTCCTCTTCCCCCGCCCACCACCAACCCCCATCGCTCCTCAACTTCACAACATCTCTCCTGTATTCACACCTCCGCTCCCTCAACCATCCCCCTCCCTACCTCTGTATGCTCGATGCTCCACAAGTGCCTACGGGGCGCATCCCACGTGCCTCCCGCGGGAGTCTCCCGAGCGCGCCCCCCTCCTCCCGCGCAGATGGGGGGGTGGGCGGGAAGCCTGGCCACCCCGGCAGCTGCCACGCCGACCGGGCCGGCCAAGAAGTCGGCCACCTTCCAGAGGAAGCCGACGGCCGTCAGCGAGCTGCGAGGAGTCAGAGGGGGGAGGGGGGGGGGGGGTGGGGGGGGGGAAACCCTGGTGAAAGGAGGGGAGGGCACGATCGGGTATGATTACTCTCGGCGGCGCGCCGAGGGGGGAAGCCAGAGAGGGCGGGCCTTCCCAGAGGACTCAGAGGGCCTCCTGCCTTCTGCGAAACGTTCGAGGCCCTCCCCGAAGCCGCACCCACCTCCGCCGCACCCACCTCCGCCCACTCTTCTCTCCGCGCCTCTTCCTCCTCCCTCCCTTCTCCTCCAATTTGCCTCCCCCTCCTCCCCCAATCTGTGTGTGGGGGGGGAGACGCCAGGAACATTACGTACCCCTCTGGCACTGGCCCTCTGCAGAAGCATCGCGTCTCAATCGCGGGGCGGAGGCTTGACGCCCGTGCGAAAGAGCGGCTGGACCAAGCGCAGGGACTCCTCGATGCACTACCTGCTCGGCTGATCGGCACCTCTCGGCGTGGATCGGCTGCCGTGCCGAAAGATAACTACTCCGCCGCCCGGTGAGCAGCGCCGCTACCCTGTCCACTCTTCCTCGCCCCTCTCCTCGCCCCGCCCCGCGCCCTGTCTGCAACCCCATCCCCTCGTGAGGGGTGTCGACGTGGGGGGGGGCTGAATCATAGCTCTGGGGGTGGGGCAGCGGCTTGGACTCGGCGATGCTCCGCCGGATAGAACAGCGGTGTGTCCCGACAGTGAAGCCGCACGCTCCTGGGAGCCCAGGCCCAGATGGGCGATTCATGGGCGATTCGGCGTCGATGCGGTCCCCGCCCATGGGCCAATCCAAACCTGATGTTCCCACGGACACCAGCCCCTGCCACGTGTCCCAAACCTCTGACGCCAGGCTGTTTTCACAACGTTGGCTCCCAGCGAGGTCCCCTCCCTGGGGACCGGCTTTTCACCCAGTCATTTTATTGGGGCGGCCCCGGTGCTCGTTGAGGGCTCCTGGGGCCCGAAAGTGGACGAGCAACGTCCGTCGTGATTTTTGTCGCAACGGGAGATGGGTTTGGCGTTCGGGCCCAACCCAGGTCGCTGGCGGCCGTCCTGGCCGATCCCTGCACTCCCAGAACGCCATCGGCGGCGAGGCGCCCTTGATGGAAGGCATCCCGAGGCTGGAAAACCCCCGAAAACGGGTGGAAACGCTCGAAAGCCTGGAGCCTCGGAAACGTCGAACTGTGCCCCTCCTGCTCATGCCCTCGAACAACGAGAGCAGGGCGGGGGGGCTGCGCCCCTCCTGTTCACGCCCAGGCCCCCGAAGCGCGCGAAGGCGCCGATGGAGCCCGTCAGCCGGGGCACCGCGGCCAGCGGCACGTGCTCCTCGCGTCGAAAGCCAGGGCCGACGCTCCCGACTGTGCGTCGGCCGTTCGACCGCGGCTTTCCCGACCAGGAAGGGAGCTCACATGGAGCTGCTCGACCAGGAAGTGCACCCAGTGCTGGGATGGGCGCGGGGATTGCTAAGGGGATAGGGCGGTTATCAGTAAAAGCCAAATGGGTCATACGTAGCCTGACCTAGCTTATGAGTGATCAGTGGGTTGCTAATGCCCCAAGTGGCTTGGGGGGGATAGCGATACAGGCTAAGTGGGCTCCGCCCACTTTGTGGAGTTGTCTGACCCCCTAAGCCTCTTGGGCCACGTGTAACCCACGCATAAAGCTAGGTTAGGCCAGGTATAACTCCTTTGGCGTCCACTGACAGCCCCCTATCCCCTTAGCACCTCAGCAACCCCCGCGCCCTTCCCAGTGGATGCCGATGGCAAGATCACGTGGTGCGCGCGGGTGTCTCGGCACGAGCTCGCCTTCCTGAGGCGCGCCCCGGCGACGCCGCTGCTGCGCAGATGGCTCGCGAGGTGCTCCCTGGGCCAGAGGGGGCAACCGCTCGACCGAGACATCTCCGACGGGGGGGGGCCCTGCCTCGGGAACCACCTAAGGGGCCAAAGGGGGGGGTGACCCTGAGTGGGGGGCAGGAGTTCGATCCGTTGGTGCACCGAGCTGCCTTGCACAGATGCCCCCCGCACGCCCCACCGATCAGAAACTATCGGGAGCCGGCGGCGGCTGGGGGGCATCTTTGTTTTTGGCTGCCCGGTGCAAAAAGCCTGTCGAACTCCCCCCCCCCCCGCGGGCACCCCCCCCATTTGCGGGATCCCGACTCTCGCCCAGGCTCGAAGACGAAAAAACGGCACCAGCATACACTTCTGGAGTTCCGCGCAAATTGTTTGGACCTGCACTTGGACCACCTGGAGGCGCCTCCGGCGCCGCCCCCAGCGCGCTGCGCGTGCCACAGAAAGGGGATCTAGCGCCGACCCGAGAGATCCGCGCAGAGCTCCCACGAGGTGCGTCTATGCCGATTTGTCTTGTACAGCTCGACCACAAGAAACCTCCTGGATGAAGGAAATGTGAACATCCAGCTGGGTTCGTTCCCGAACCCCACCTTGGGAGAACCCCCCCCTACGAGCCCCCGAGCATCAAGACAGCAAGCCGCACGAAGGGGAGTGCACGGCGCGAGAAGCTCCGGGAGCGGACCAGACCTGACGCCCCCCAGGGCGGTGGATGCCATGGGATGGCTTCGGGCTGCGCGCGGACATCCCGCCCAAGTACAAGAGGGGCTCGACCGCAAGAAACCTTCCACAATAATCCCTACCCTGAGACCCCAGGCCGTCCATAGATGCTGGTGTGGGAACGCCACGCTCCGCATCGACAAAACCGTCCAACCTCGGGAAGCCCAAGGGCCCCCTGGAGGCAAGCAGGGAGCTTCTTGACATGGGCCTCCGCTGCATGCTGCGGGCAGCTCTTGCAGCGCAGGGAGTCGCCGCGGCAACGGGCTTGGCTCGGGCATGTCATCTTACAGGCAGATCTTGGAAGGCGAATTGAAGCAATATTCAACTCGTACTCAAAAATAGTCAAGCACTGTCAGCAAGAATCGCCCCCAGGCTGTTGTTGGGTTATGTTTGAAGACTCATCCTGTAGAGGGACAGGCCCGACTTAGCAGCAGGCCCAGCCGACCGCCCCAGCCGCACGGCCTCGGTGACGCCGCGGCGCGGGCGCTCCGGCAGCGCTCTCTCGGGCAGGGGCGCCGCCCGTCCCTCGCGCAGGCACGGGCGTCCCCGGCGGCACGCGCGGCCCCCTGCGGCGAGAGCCAGGCGGGCCGACGCCTCCCCGTGTGCGCCGCGGGCCTTCTACGAGTGGGGGCATTTTGCTTTGCTCTTCAAGGGCCGCGTGGCCCCTGACCGAATTCGTGCACTTCTGCGCGTCGCGCTAGCCGCCCTCATTGGGCAGTCGTCGCCCTGCCCGCGCCTGGCCCCTGGCCCGCGCCTGCTCGGCGGAGGTGGACCCGTACGCCGGCAGGACCGTGCGAGTGGGGGCATTGGATAAGGAACCCTGGTGGTCAGGAGTCCAGGGCCTGGAGGCCGGTGGAATTCCAATCGAATCGAGGCTCGGCCATGGATACCACTGCCGCGGAGCCCAGGGTCTGAAGCCCCCCCGGGCACATTCCTTAACGAACGCCCCCGCCGCATGTTGTTCCCATCGTACTTCAGGACAGCATCCCAGAAATCATGTCGAGCACCCAAAGAAAGTGTCGAAGCAGTATCGAACGAGAATCGCCTCCCAGGGCCCGACACGTGGAAACCCTCCAGTTTCGGCAATTCTCATGGTGCTCGAAATTCTTTCTGGTGAACGAGGCTAAAGCAGGTTGGAGCATCATAAAGCGGGTCACTGAGGAAGTCCGAATATGACCAAGATCACCGAGACCGCCGCCGCCGAGACCGCCGCCGCCGAGACCGCCGCCGTCGTCGTCGTCGTCGTCGTCGTCGTCGTCGCTGTCGACGTCGTTCAGGGTCGGCGGCACTGGCCGTAAGGCCGCTTTCTCAGAAGCCCTCCAGCCTTCTGCGGAGTCTCCTGTGTCACCCGAGGAGGCCCAGAAGACTCCTCAGAAGGCCGGGGGGCTCTCCCGCAGCGCCCGACGTCGCCGCGGCAGCAGCGGCGGCCAAAGGCCGCCCCGGGGCCTTGCTCTGGGCGGGTCTCCCCGCCCGCCCGCCGCGACGCTCTTCGTGCCCCGCCGCGCCCCGACCGCGTGGATCCTGCGGTCGGGAACCTTTGCTCAGCGCGTCGCCGCAGCGGCCCCGGCGACACGCTGTACCTTGCGATCAGAAATACTGCTGGGCGAGGGTCCGCGTACCCAGACCCCCTCGAGGTGTGGAAAAACCGACGGCGGGAGCTTCTTCGCAATCCTCAGCCTCCAGGGGGCCCCGCCGGGCCTCGGGACCGTCAGAGAACGACTCAGGATGGAAAACCGGTCCCTGGGAAGGGATCCAGGCTCCTGGGGTTCACGTCCCGAACAAAAAACATGACGTCGGGGGTCTGGTTCCTGGGACCCCAGCGGGCGATGGATGTGGATGCGGCTGGGCCCCAGGGGCCCCGAGCATACCTATACGACCACACTTCGGATGATAAGGAGGTTTTTGTTGGGGGGGAGAGGGGGGTGAACCAACATCTGACTCAATCGATCTCACTATCGATCTCACTCAACGGGACACCATGGGACACAACGGGACACCACGGGAAACTTGTCGATCTCACTATCAATCTCACTATCGATCTCACATTCTTGGACACCACGGGACACCACGGGACACCTCAGGGCACCACATCGATCTCACTATCGATCTCACCATCGATCTCACTATCGATCTCACTCAACGGGACACCACGGGACACCTGTCGATTTCACTATCGATCGTACATGTTGAAACACCGCGAGACACCTTGGGGCACCACATCGATCTCACTATCGATCTCAGTATCGATCTCACTCAACGGGACACCGCGGGACACCACGGGACACCTGTCGATCTCACCATCGATCTCACTATCGATCTCACTTTCTTGGACACCACGGGACACCACGGGACACCTCGGGGCACCACATCGATCTCAGTATCGATGTCACTATCTATCTCACCATCGATCTCACTATCGATCTCACTTAACGGGACACGACGGGACACCACGGTACACCACGGGACACCGCGGGACACCGCGAGCCACCGCCAGACGGACGGACGGACGGGGGAGAATCATTTGTCTTGACTTCGTCCTAGCAGTGGCGGGTTCAGTCCTCTCGCGCGCCCACGCAGCTTCGCCTCGCCCGCACGCACGACACGAACGAACCGAAACGATTTCCTGGTTGGGGGTCTCCGTTCCACTGCGATCTCATCCCCCAACCTCCGATCCATGTCCACCGCCTGGCGAGGTCTCCGAAAATCGATCCTCCAAGCGGTGGCTATGTGCAGATCCCCGACTCGGGAGATCGCGTGCCGCTCCGCTCCGCGGTGCGGAAGGTTGGGAAAGGCCCAAGGCGCTGACGCCTGGGGACTGGGAAGTGGAGAGCGCCTCGCGCTGCAGCGTGGTGGGCCAGAACCGCGAGGAGGAGGAGGAGGAGGAGGAGGAGGAGGAGGAGGAGGAGGAGATTCCACATCCCCTCGTCGTGGGCACATCTCGCGACGGGCGGGGGGACCTGCCATCGCCGGCCTCTGGGACTCGCGGGGGGCCGCTCCGCCCACGAAGCACCCGGCGCGCGGGACGCAGGCCGCGGCCCCTGAGGAGGGTGACGGTGGCCCAGATCTCCGGGGGCCCACTCCGTGACGGGAGTCGCGGCGTCGGGGCTCGGAGCCCCCACGTCGGGCGGGTGGTACTGGGGGGTGACCCACATGGGGGGTGAAGAAAGGGCCATGAAGAGGCCCTTCAGGGCCCCTTTGGGGCACCCGCTGGCTCCAAAACGGGCCTAAAGGGCATCTTCAGGGTTCTGTTCGTCGCCCCCATGCAATCCCGAGACCCCCAGCGCCATAATTTTGTTATGACGTGGACCCCCAGAGAACTCGACCCCGTTCCTCAGAGGAGGGAAAGGTATCCATACCGCTACCCTTCCCTATTCTTCCCCCTTGTGGGCCCCCTTCGGGGGCCCTCGTCGCCACCACCGGATTCGCCCCGAAACTCTGATCAGAACGCACACCAGACACCAGAGAGAGATCCAGGGAGTAGCCGAATCGGTACCTGTTGGTTTCCCCATTCCCTGCAGTTTTTCATCCTGAGCCCGCGAACGAGATCCGAGCTGTTTCTTCCCCCTTCCCCCTTCCCCTCGCCCTTCCCTCTTCCTGCTCCTGCTCCTGCCTGCCGCTGAAGCATCCCAGGCACGACGATCGCATCATCGTACAGGTGCCAGAGGCACGGGCCAAGACTTTCCCCCCGAGTTTCTACTGGGATGGGCGCGGGGGGTGCTAAGGGGATAGAGGGTTATCAGTGGATACCAAGATGAGATATGTCTG